CAAGTTCTATAAAAGTTTTACAATCTCACTACATAAAGCATAAAACAGAGCTTATAAGAGTAGAGATAATGGGTGATGTAGCTTATGACATTGGTTTTGTTGCCACAATTGGCTGAAATTCAATTTTTTTTCGCTCTAACTCAATACAATGAACGGTGATGATATCAGAAGTCACTTCATGTTTTTTCTCCTTGGTGCATTCTTTACAGATTTAGCCCATTGTACAGTTGATCTGGCCAAGGCATCCATAGGATCAACACATTTCTTGAGAAGAGGATCATCATGAGGCAACAGACCAAGCATTTCATCATAGGCAATAATGACAGTATTTACAGCTCTAACCAAAAGAACCTGGATTGCAATCCTCAACAGATTCCTTGCTCCTTCCATGTCTCTTCTGTTTAATGACTCAGTTGCTGCAATTACAACGTGCTCCATTGTTGCCTTATCAGGCAACACGACCTCGAAACCCTGCTACAAAATTAAAGTATTTGGATAGGAAAGAGAAACAAGGCCATCATTTTATATTTTACTATCAAACTAACATACCTGATTCTGCAGTTTCTCCTGATAAAATCCGGCAGCTAAAGTTGTGTGTGAGGCAAGTAACCCGATCCTGACATTGCTCCCAGCTTCAAGTGGCTTAAGGTTTGCCTCCTTGAGCTCCCTGGCGATACATTCACCTGCATGAAAAACTGGAAGTGAACATCCCTCAAATACCTCACCAAACCAGGCATGTGAAACATGGCATGGCATGACTATGCAGTGAGCTCCAGACTGCTCGAGAAATGCTCGAATACTTCGAAAATTCTCTATGATTGAACTATGGTTGAACTCAGTCTGTTCACTCTTAGTGTGATGCAATCCCAAGGAACTGCAGGATGAGAATTTTCTTCCCAATTCTGGATCGCTGCAGACGACAAAAGGAAGCTGGCATTTTTTACCTTCTCTTGAGCTCATCCAAACAAGCTTCTCTAAGAAAATGAGAGTAGAGAAAACAGACACTCCTCCCATGATGCCCACTGTTTCAGCTTGGCTGAGCAATGGATTCTGAGCCTTCAATTTAGCTTGAGCTGCAACAGAAGTACTCGAAGCCTTTCTTAATTCGGGAAGATCACCATTCTCATCTGTTTGTACAAGAACTGAAGATAATTGTACAGCAAGAGGTAGATGTATACTTTGTCTTTTTCTATATGAAGTCAAATTCTTTAGTACATTGCGTTGAAGAACTGGTCTTGAATTTCTCATATGCAAAGACATGGTTCTGTTATATACTTGTGCCACCACCAAACATGTAAATATAACCAATATCAGATATAAGCTTCTGCAATCTGCATATATCCTATGAACTTCCAGAAGTTAACCATAAAAAATGCATCATGATCAGAACCATCAAACAGAAGAATCTCCATGACTGGGTTTTTTACAGCTCAAGAATCCTTCTTTGACACTAAAAGCTTTCTGTAGTAGTTTTGGTTCGGTGACAAATTCTATGCAAATAAAGGGTTAAACCAGAGATCTACCCAGAAAACACCCAGATCCCAGAATTAAAAACTACACTAAACAAACTGTCAGATTAGACAGATGATTTTATTACTGTTGCAGAACCAGAACCCAGTTACTATAATTCCTTAGGAACTTAAAGAAGAAAAGAGAGCCCTAATATCAAAGACTCAGATATTTCACTTAGGTAACTATGGAATGCCAAAAGGAAGTATATAAGGACAGATATCCTCCAACTCTGGGAATCTTTTTTTTCTTTTTTATTCATGCATTTTTAGCACATTGAATTTGCAATGATGAAAAAAATTGAAGGAATCTGAATAATTGTCATCTTTTCACCTTTTGGCACAGAATCATTGGCTGCCGTTCAAACCATAGATAACATTAATAATTCAAGAAATAGATTACAAATCCATATACAGACAAACTTATATTACCCTGGACTAAAATTAATTATCTTTATCTTTTCTGACAAGTATGACAACAATGGCAGTATGCTGCAGGACAGATATGCAAACACTTACCCAAAGTACTGCTGTCAAAACTCAGATTCTATTGTTCAACCAATATTTACTGTAGATTCCCTGCATTTATAAACTCACAGATCTGTGAAGATGAATCTTGAGGATATTTTTTCTCTTCTACAGATCTTTTGGTCTCCTTTAAGATGATCGACAAAGCTGGATAAAGGGGATTAGCCAAACTAATAGGACAACTTAAAATATTCTTCAGGTCATTTTACCTTCAAAATTTTTCACCCTTAAAAACTTTTTGACTGTGGATTGATAAGATTGCATCTAATGTAAAGTAGCAGAAATTGTACTAATTTTAGTTCATGGACTAACTACTACAATTATTCCCTTTCTTTGTAGAGTTTGCTTCCTACTTTCCTTTATCCGATTCCGGGTGGATTTTCATTAGCTCTTCTACTACGACCTTATAGACTTAGCAAAATTATGTGTTATAAGCTCAGAATCTCATATAAGTGCAAGGGGAATGTTAAGATTTTATTGTAAACGATAGATTTAACCATTCTTTATCAGTTTGAACTATTAAAAAATTTCATTCGGTACTTAATCTATGATTTTACAGTGAATGAATTGATAATTCTGCTATACTAGCTAATATGTTCTGTTAAAGGAATAATAATTGTGCATATTATGATAGGTATGCACTAATATGATATCATCTTTTATTATTATTGACAAATTCATAAATAATTTTTATAAATTTTATAAATTATTTAAGTTTTTTAATAAATATATTCATTTTATGTTATTATATAAAATAATTTTTTTTAATATTAAAATTCGTAAGTGGTCGTTTGTCATCACATCACATCTAAGGTATATGTAGGTTGGTGAATTATCATGAAAGACATGGATTTTTGTAGAGGTGGACGCCATTGACGGTGAAAAGATCTTAACACCATTAACCCAACTCACTAAAGAGACAAAGAGCTATATACATACGTGTATGTGTATATATGTATAAAGGTGAGTTTTATCAATGGACGATGGAGAAAATGCCTGGTTTTTCTCAAGAAAATGAAATTTCTTCCTCCCCAGAAACTCAGGCGAGTAGGAGAAAAGACACGTGCTTGCAAAGATTAATTGTTCTTGAATATATACAATATAACTTTTTGATGTCCTTCTCAGAACCTGTCAACTAGTAGGCTAGATGTGAATCAGATTCTTGTTTTTTCTTTGTGGTTTTCGTTGGGATGATCATGATGAGTATCGAAGAAATTTTACAGGTTTATCCTTTGTGGAGAAGTTGATGAGTAGTAAGAACTCTTCAAGACATCTTATTGTTGCAGAGCTTGCTTAACAAATAAATTTTCCTAAGTAATAAGAAACCCGTATCTTCTAATTCGCCTAAGAACTTCTTGATTATGAATCATAAATTTTTGAATGTTGGAACTCAATTGTTAATAGTAGACAGTTTAATTAACTTTATAGATTTTGTCAAACTTATATTATTTTATCTACTATTTGTTAATTTTTTTAATATTGTATACGAGATTAATAATTGTAATGCATATTACATGTTGGTTCGAATATTAAGTCGAGATTTCGAAGTTTCATATCGTTGGACTAAACTGATTTTTGAAAGACTTGTAGTAGACATCTAATTCTTTATTTTGACTGTTGATTTCATGTATCCGTCATCAGATTGTTCAAAACAGCTTAACCACTGTAAATTTTTTTTTTTTTACTCAGAAACATAATAGACTTGCCATAATTTAAATTAACTTAGTCACTGTAACCTTATTAATAAACTAATGAATTAAGTTTTTAATCCAACTAAATCAAGTTTTATAAACGAATTATCGCCAGTCATAATACACCATAATGTAATTAGTTTTACATTGTCAAATTCACAACTTTGTATAATACAGAAATCTCAACCACGAGACCATTATATTACTGGTCATTTTATATGATGTTTGGTGCAATAAATATAATAGAGTAAATAATAGATAAAACTCTCATCGTATCCTACTTACTATTTAGTAAAAAAATTATTATGAATGTGGTAAAGTATCATTCACTTAAGCCACCACTATTATTATCGTTACTAGCACTTTATGTTATCTTCACCGTTGCTCAACTCTTACCACTATTAAAGTCATTATTACTATTATTTTATTATTATTATTATCACTATTATTATTCTGATCATATTGTTACTATCGTCATATTTATTGTTATTATCGTTATCATTAGTATTATTGTTACTCATCATCAGAACTATCATTATTATTGCGACCGTCAATTTTATTGTTACTATCATCATTTTAATTATTGTTATTATCATTATTACTATTACTGAAATTTTTTTGCGACAATTCTATTGTCATTGTGATTATTATTATTATTATTGTGACTGACGACAATTTCATTAGCATTATTGTCATATATATTTTTGTTATTATTGTTATCACTGTCATTATTATTATTGTTGTTACGAGTGACAATACTGTTATTGTAATTATTATTTGTAATATTTTTATTAAGTAATTATTATTAATAAATCAAAAATAATAATTTTATTTTAAATAAAAGTCAAATATATTAATTTTTATAATTTTTAATAGGATATAATATATATAAACTTTAAATATTTTATTTTTTGAATAATTTATTTTTGATAGTATGATATACTGAAAATATTTGTGTTTGGTTTCTTACAATATTGCTATTATGTAACTATATTATAAAATCAATAATTAAAAAATTCATCTGGAATTTTGAACACATCCTAAAATAATCGAATATTGTTTAATTTATTTTGTAGATAATTTGGACTTCATTTTCATTCAAACGAAGCGTAAGACTTAAATTTATTTTTACAGAAAACGTAAGACACAATAAAAGTAACAAAAATTCTCAGAGAAATTATTAGATACGCCGGGCTCACCACTTAATATGCTGACGTGGTAGGACAGCCAATGGTAGCGTGACATCTCATTTACGAGTTTGCTAATTATGACACATCAGCCGTTAATTTAGAATTAATAGATAGATCCGTTAAATCCGTTAATGCTCTTTGCCGTTATTTCCGTTAACTTGACGCTTTTTTATTGAGTACATTTTAATATATAAATTTAATTTTTAAAAAAATATAACAGAGAACATGAATGACAGACCAAAGCCCCATTGGCTCTAGGAGCCGTTCATGGCCATCGCCTGCTTGCAGATCCAATTGATCAAACCAACGCCATGATCGTGCGCCGCAGGAAGGTGAATGTTTGTCTGGTTGGGCGCCACTTGATATTCAATGGACAGGATGAAATCTGAGATTGCTAGCGGCCATGCAGCTGCAGAGGAAGAAGCCGCCGCCACGAAGTCGACTACGGGAGGTAGCTTACCGTTTGGGAATGTATTTAACATGAATACACGGTCGAGAGAGAGAGACAGAAGCAGACAAAGGAAATTGGAGAAGATGACAATAGCGTTGACGGTAACGATTAACACTCTCACTGCCAGGTTTACCATGTAAGCAAACTTACGTGGTATGGGCATATCGAATATTTTCTCCATAAATTGGCGGGAAATGTTCAAGACATCCGGGGAAATTACGCGGTGGCTTCGCGAAGCAGGGAGCGGGATTACAGAGATGGAGATGGAATTGCAGACACACTCAAACAATCACCTACAAAACCCCCTAACTTCCTTCTAAATTTGATATTCATCCCCAAAAACCTAATTCTGCCCACATCAGGTAACCCACTCTCATCACCATCACCACCATTTTTTTTTTGGCTGGTTTAAGCATTCTCTACTATTTTACTGCATTTCATCGTAATGGCTTTTTAAAACCATGTAACTATATGTTTGTGTTTGTGTGTGCATTATATATACATCTATCCTCTGTATCAAATATGTTTTCTGCTTATTTTTATATGTTGAAAATGTTGGTAATAAGCATTGGAGAAAAATATACAGTGATTAGTTTTGTCATCTGCCTCAACAATGCACAGGACATAGGTGTTTGAGCATGTTCTCAACCAAGTTTCTTCCCGTTGCAATCTCTCTATGGGTTTCCTTGGCTTTTGTTGCTTGTTATTCTGATGATGATGGGCTGCTCAGAGTTAGCCTAAAGAAGCGCCATCTTGACCTTAACACTCTGCATGCTACAAGATTATTCACCAGAATAGAAGGAGAAACTAGCAGTTATTACTTAAATGATAATATCGCAGAGGTGGTGTATCTAAAGAATTATCTAGACACTCAATATTACGGAGAGATTGGCGTTGGCTCACCACCTCAAACCTTCAATGTTCTTTTTGATACTGGTAGTGCCAATCTTTGGGTCCCTTCTTCCAAATGCCTTCTTTCTGTAAGTCCCCGCGTGATATATAATTTATGTAATGTTTCTGAGTTCTTAGCTAAGCATTAGGTATTCTCTAAACCATTATTACTGCTGGCGCAGATTCTGTGCTATTTCCATCCCAGGTACAGGTCAAGACTATCCAATACTTACACCAAGATTGGTAAGTTTTGGTATCAATCAAATACTTAAATAATTTCTTTATGTACTTCAGTTAGTTCATTGTTTATTTAGGAATACCTTGCAAAATCAAGTACGCTTTGGGATCAATTTCTGGTTTCTTCAGCCAAGATCATGTGAGCATTGGAGATTTTGTAATTAAAGATCAGGTGGGTACGTAATTAGTTCTTGTGCACAGAGAGAGTGGTTTATATTTGAAAACAAATATGTATGTATGTATTGACATTAGTTAGTTTAGATTTTAGCCTTTTTTAATGGTCAGGAATTTATTGAGGTTACAAGGGAAGGAACTTTAGCATTCCTTGGCATGAAGTTTGATGGGATTCTTGGACTTGGATTTCAAGAGATTGCTGTTGGACGAGCCATGCCAGTTTGGTATGCTAGAATTTTGTAACTAACTTATTACAGTAACCTTTGATATAACAATTTAGTTAGATGATGATTTCCGAAGTGATTAAAAGGAAAAAGTTATGGTGATAACCATTGCATATGTATAGTTGAAAATATTGATGGGCATACTAATGCAGGGAGAATATGTTGCAACAAGAACATATGGATCAAAAGATATTCTCGATCTGGTTAAATCGAGAGTCAAGTTTAGGAGTAGGAGGGGAGATTGTGTTTGGAGGTCTTGATTGGAGGCACTTCACGGGTGATCACATTTATGTCCCTGTTACCAAAAGGGGCTATTGGCAGGTCTAATTTCTTACTCCATATCACCTTCTTTCTGAGATTTTTCTCTGGCAAATTAATGTTTGCTGAGTGACACAGAAAACACTTTGCAGATTCAAGTGGGAGATATTCTTGTTGGAAAGGATTCCACAGGTGATACTACAATAATTATGGTTTGAAAACTTTGATTTTCAGTCCATGATTTATAGTGAGAAGGTGTTTGGATAATTTTCAGGATTTTGCGCAACGGGTTGTGGTGCCATTGTGGATTCTGGCACATCCTGGATTGCTGGCCCAACTGTATTGCTCATCCTTCAACTCCATCAGCCTTAATTAATTAATTATTTGATCTTATTTTTATTTTTTTCAGGCTATTGTAGCTCAAATCAACCAGGCCATTGGAGCAGAAGGAATAGCAAACATGGAATGCAAAAAAGTTGTTACGGAATATGGGAATCTGTTATGGGAATACCTCATATCTGGGGTTGTTCTTTCTCTTTGAAACAACTTCTCAATTGTCACCTTTTTTCCCAATAGACAAGAAAATACCACAGAAATCACTAGCGTGCTCATTGTTTGTATCATTAGATTTCTTTTCATAATAAAATCTAACAGTAAAGATAAGTTAAGTTATAGTATTGAGAGATCATCGTAACTGCATTATTAGTATTTCTAATCAGAAACTCCCCTCTTATAGGTCCGTCCTGAAGTTATATGCGTTGATATTGGGCTATGCCTGTATAATGACTCGAAAAATAAGAGGCAGGAATTTCATAATTTTCTCTTAAAGTTCTATTGTCACTTAATATTTTGGTTGTTGGTCTCGTCTTTAATGCATTAATAAACTCATTCACGCTTAAATGCGTGCAGATTTAGGACGGAATCAGTGAGAAGGAACCGAAGTGATGGGGTAGAGCAGGAGAATGTTCTTTGCACTATGTGTGAGATGAGTGTTTTTTGGATTCAAGTTCAGCTCAAGCAACAGAAAGCAAAGCAAAGGGTTTTCGAATATGTAAAGCAGGTGACTTTTTTTTGCTTTTTCTGTTTTAATTTTTGAAGATGAAAATTGATAAACTCACTTATGCTATATAATTTACTTTATTAATATCAAAACGATCTTTCTTCTTGTTTGTTTCTTCTCTATGAAGGGTAACTAATTTGTATGTCCTTGTTGTACTTGCATCGAATTGGAAAACGTTAAAGCTATGTGAAAGTCTCCCGAATCCATTAGGAAAATCATTTGTCAACTGTGGTAAAATGGAAACCATGCCACATATTTCCTTTACCATTGCCAACAAATCCTTCCCTCTCGCCCCACATCAGGTATATCATATCTATTTGGTTTTGCAGCTTCTTGGAACTAGACTTTTTTATCCTACAAATCCGAATTACCTACTATGCTTAACGCAGAGGTTGAGAGAAACTTTAATTTCATCGTTTGTACTATAATCCTCAATTAGAGAATGTCTACTTCCTGTTGATGAACTTCCAAAGGTGAAAAATGTACTCTTACATATATTTTGGTTTGGATATTTATATTTAGTATGTCCTTAAAGTTGAAGAGAAAGAGAGTCGTTCCGCAGTATGCTTTAGTGGATTTGTGGCTTTGGATGTGGCTGCTCCGCAAGGTCCCCTCTGGTATTAGCACATTATTTTTATTGTACTTATTTTTTCTTATGATATTAGTATTATACTATATAGTATTTGCAATTGGTTAATTTCATACACTTGCAGGGTCTTGGGGGATATATTTCTTGGAGCATACCACACAGTATTTGACTATGGTAATCTTCGAGTGGGATTTGCAAAAGCAAGTAGCTATTAATTATTTCAAATATATATATATATATATATATAAATTATTAACTACTATTTACTTGAATAGTTATTACGTTTGTTTTATTAAAAAATTATGAATTCGAATCTGATAGTTTTCTAATGTTAGATTCATTTGCTACTTAGCAATGAAATAGTAAAATAAGCAGAGGAGGAATCTTCACCTTCAATTTTGCAGTCGCCATTGTACTTTGCAATCGCCCATTTCCTTCTATGGTTTTATTAGGGTTGTCTATTAGCAACCCAATTGGATCTAAGTGTTAAATAATATTTTACGGTAATAAAATAAAATAAATTTTTAAATTTTATTAATTAAAAAATAGTGATTATAAAAATTATGTATATAAATATATTTTTATACCCTCGAACCAAACTCTTTTATTTTG